CCGGGAGTCCATTGGCCTTCTTGGCCACCTGGGCACGCTGCTGGCTCATATTCAGCTGCCTGTTGACCAACACCCCCGGGTCCTTTTCTGACAGGCAGCTTTCCAGCCACAGATACTGCTCGTACTCAATACTCTCCATACTCATAAGAAATGGAGCAGAAAATTAATGAGCCCCTCACACACACTCTGGGGTTTGTCTTTCAGGCGTGGTGCGATCCGTTAAGGAGACCCTGAGCAGCCAGTTTGTGGAGAACTGCAAGGGCGTTGTTCAGAGGCTGACACTGCAGGAGCATAAGATGGTGTGGAACCGAACAACCCACCTCTGGTACGTGCATGGTGCCCATGAAGCTCTGGCTTTCGAACCAGCTGTGGTGCCCTGGGAGGGCCTGAGAGGCTGAAACTACTTCAGGCGTGGCCAAAGTGACCTAGGTGCCCCAGACCCGTGCCCCACAGTGGCTCTGTTACAGCTGCCAGAACGGGGCATGGTTGGCGCTTTTCAGAGTTCACAGAGGGGCTGTAGATGATGAGCGCGTGGAGTAACCCAGTGCGGGCAGAGCATTTATCTGCAGTCCCACGTTGTTACGGAAGTGACCACAGGATGGTATTTCCTGAGCAAAACAATGCCTTCAAAAGAGAAATTTGGTTGGATTTGGGCGATACCCGCACCCAGGGGACCTGAGGACGGTCCTGAGAGCAGCCTGGCCCATGAGAGCTGCCTGGTGATGCTTTTCGAGCCCCAGCTGATCAGATAACCCTTATCAAATTTACGTTGTGTGACGGGCGGCGTTTCTCCTCTCAGGGCGGGTTCCAAAAAATGCCATGGGGAGATGAGGGGGAGTTAGGGGGGCTGAAGCGCTCTCCCAGTGATGGTGGAAGCCCACCCTAGTTCTGTGGGGACCAAGGAAGAGTTGAGGTGAAGGTGGAGGGCCTGGTGCACACCCGGAAGGTGCCACAAGCGGAGAAGCACCACTCTCCAGCGCATCCCACCCAGATAAGCTTCGCTCAGGGCAGGTGACGGCTGGCAGTACCCAAAAATGGCAGGTCAGCCCACGCGGTGTTCCCCAGCTGGCCTTGAGGGAAGCGCTAACGCTGGCATTTGCTTTACCCCCTTCTCCTTCATCAGGAATGACTACGAGAAGATCATCCACCAGAGAACCAACACCACCCCCTTTGAGCTGGTGCCACAGGAGGAAGGCTCTGGGGTCACTGTCAGGGTGATGAAGCCACTGGATGCTGCCGAGCTCAGCCTGGAGACGGTGTACGAGAAGTTTCATCCCTCCGTACAGTCCTTCACTGACGTCATCGGCCACTACATCAGCGGGGAGCGCCCGAAGGGGATTCAGGAGACGGAGCAGATGCTGAAGGTGGGCACGGTGCTGACAGGAGTGGGAGAGCTGGTCCTGGATAACACCACCATCAAGCTGCAGCCGCCCAAGCAGGGCATGCCCTACTACCTGAGTGGTGTGGATTTCGACTCCTTGCTGCAGAAACACGAATCCAGCGTCAGGTTCTGGAAAATCCTGATGGTCCTTTTCGGTTTTGCCACCTGCGCCGTCCTCTTCTTCATCCTACGGAAACAATACCGGCATCACCGGGAGAGGCAGCACCTCAAGCAAATGCAGGATGAATTCCGGCAGGCCCAGGAGCGCCTGGCGCGGGAAATGAACGTAGAGGGCGGAGAGACGCTCAAAAACGCTTGCGTCATCTGCTTGGGCAACACCAAATCCTGCGTTTTCCTAGAGTGCGGGCACGTTTGCTCTTGCAGCGAGTGCTACCAGGCTCTCCCCGAGCCCAAAAGGTGCCCGATCTGCAGGCAGGCCATCGACAGGGTGGTCCCCTTATACAACAGTTAAATTCCTGTGGCCAGAGGGAGCTTTTGGCATTAAAACTGCCTTTTGCCAAGGGGTTTTCTTGCCTCGCTGCGTGGGTGGCTTGATTTTTGGGGAAGGGGAGGGAGCTTGAGTGAACGAGGTGCTTCGACTGGGGTGCAGAGCTGGGTCTTACGAGGTGGCGGTCCGGCTGATCAGGGCTCACATTGCCTGCTGGAGGTTTCTGGGGGCAGGAGATGAGGAGTCCTTGCACGGGGCGTGGCGCTCAGCTGGCAGAGGCGATTTCAAGCTTTTTTTAAGAGTTGGACTCTCGGGGTTTGCATCACGGTTTGCTGATCATCCGTGAGGTCAGTCTGTGAGTGTGTCACGCAGGGACGCTGGAGCAGGGAGGTGAAAATGCCGTGGCTGATTTCTGCTTTTGGCTTGAGCTTGGGATAGAAAATGGGATGTAAAGTAATAAAACAGGATGAAAAGCCTGATTGTCTTGGATCGTTACGTGAGCTGGAGGCCTCTGCGTTCCCTGGGCTGTCCATGAGGTCGGGGTGAGGGGAGGGGGATCCTGGCCCCCCTGCACTGAATCCAACACCGGCCGTGACGGACACCACTGTCCCCTTGTCTGTGATGCAGGCGATACCAAACCCCCAAGCTTTCTCACACAGAAAAGGAAAATTCCCTCCCCTGACTCCCCCACTTTGCCATAAATCACGTATGGTAACTGCACCCGAGGGGGTTAACGCCCCCAGAGCGACGCTTCAGTTAACATGTGCTGTGGAGGGCGATGAGTTTTCAATTAAAGAAATGGGGGGGGG